TCACGCAATAGGAAGCTTAATAATGTTTCTCCTCCAAGAGCAATTGCTAAAATGCATTGCCTGCTCCTTTGAAAATTACACAGCTGTGTAATTTATGCCCTAAGTTTATGAAGAAAACCAGGTATAGTGGCAATTAAACAGGTGTGCACATAGACATGAAACAGAATAGGCTTGAAAATCTAATCTTAACTGACTTACAGATTAATTTTTGACTTCACAAATTTTAGAGTAAATTTACAAGTAGCTTCATTTTTCAGCTTAAGTATTCAGGAGACTTGAGAATTCCAAATTCTCACATTAGAGGAAAGTTTCCGTTTTTTACTTAACTGCAGAAGAAAAATGTAGCACAGGCAATACGTGCATTTCGTCACAATTTAATATTTCTGTATGTTACAGAGCTGGTGATGTTACTGTCAAGGCTTAATATAATTTTCTCCCCATACACATAAAGCTTTGTAAGGAAATGCTTGACTAATATTTTTGGTAAGTCGGTTTCCAATTCAGCTGTTTGAAGAGCCTGAATGAAAGTCACTAAAATAAAATATTCCAGTGTAAATTAAAATAGGCTTATTAAAAGACCCAGAAACAGAATTCTGTGTATAACTGACATCATGGTTCATTTTCTTGAAAATTTGAAACTATATTCAAATAAGAAGTGCCTTGCAGAATCTTATGTGGAAGGGCCAAGTGAGTTCTTACTAGTATGGACAATTATGTCATAAAGAGAAGTATATTAATTTTAATTTTCTGCCACAAATGTTTGCCCTCAGGAGACAATGTGGAGCTGTAGAATTTAAACTATTCCTGTAGAATGTGATTATATTAGTAGAAGCTGTATTTCTTGTCAGTAAGTGAATTAAGAAGACATAAAACTGTGTGAATTTCCCTCTGGTTTGAACAATAATAATGTGCAGCCTGACTTTTTATACATTACTCTCTGAGAGTCTGCTCTTTCTGTGCTTTTAGTTCTCAGCTGCCTCTTTCACTTCTATGTTCTTTGGATGTGCTCTCTGTCATCGTCTAAGCCTTGCTTTATTTTTCATTCAAGGAATCTTGACCAGCATCCTGATTAGTAAATATCCTGCAGACTTTGTTTCTCAATCAGATTTTTTCTTAGTACCTACCTGTCTTCCATGTCTGCAGCTGTCTTCCACTCTCAGTGGTGTGAAAGCTGTCTCCTATCCTCCATATGATACAAAAACCAGCTGCTAACCAGACATGAGTGTTTGCATTGTCCTCAGCTGGTATGACCCAGGACACCACCAATCATGATGCTGCCATGTGCTTTTCACCCATTCACAGGAACTGCTGATATTGTGTAGAAACCCAGCTGAGGTGATTTGGTGCCACAAGTAGAACTTTGGCTGACAGTAGAGCAGTTAAGAGCTTGTATAACACTGAAAACACGCAGTTCTGAAGGGGCTGAAAGGTGTTAGGTTGGAGAGTAGTTGCTAGTGTCTTGCTGCAATATTGATTGACAAACCAGTGTTACATAATATTTTCAATAAAAAAACAATTTTTAACTTTGATGCAAAAACTAAGAATAAAAAAATGTATTGTGCTGGTAGTGCAAAGGTGAGCATCAGCATTGCTACAGAGGAAGATTGGCATGACACGAGGAAGTTTTTGATCACCTGTGTAACAGAAATGAGAAGCAGTGCAACAGTACAACATGCAGTAGCTTAGAAAATAATAGAAGTTCCAGTCAAAGGCTCCTTTTAGCAGAAGCACAGCTTTTGGTAATGTCTGAGGAGATAAAAAAAATTGGTTACATTATCTGACCTCACTTTTTTATGAGATAGTAAAAGTTTTTCAGGCACGAAAGACAAAACAGGAGAACATTAAGAGAGGTGCTTCCACTAGCTAATGGTAGGTGTTAGTACTGAGGCTTCTTATCCTAACTGTACTATGCTGGGCTTTCTTGACACCACATCAGGCACAGAGGAGGGCCATTCTGATGAGTTGGGGAACACAAGGTTATTACAAGAGAGATTAGAAGAGAGCCTAATCACTCTGGGAATAGCCTTTCAGTGGGATTCCAGAGAATTAATGGGATTTTCAGAGATTTCCAGGGAATGGGTTATGTACAAAAGGCACAATGGTCTTGAAATTGTTCACTAATCACTGTGTAAGCACACCCTAAAGATCTAAGTTGGGAAGGGCTGTGATTGCTCTCAAAAAAGAAATGAGTTGGGTAAATGGTACAAATAGAAAAGTATAATTTATAGTGAAGGAAGTTATACACAAACAATTAATAAATTTGTAATTATAAATAAATCAGGCTTGAAATTAGAATAAGGTCATGAGCCATTGATAATTTGGAAGACTTCCCCAAATAAGAAAAATGGTGGTGAAGTATTGTTATTAAGGTCTAACATGATTGATTTTTAAGAGCGTTACAATGATTGGCTTCCTGTGCTAGAATAAATCTGTAACAGGTAGCACACACTTGTATAGAAGGTCCTTTTCTTTCAGTCTCATGTTCCGTGAAAGGTAGTAACACAACATGGTGATGATCCCTGAAATGAAAGCATAGGAAGAATCTATTCACAGATGGGTGTTACATGCCAACAGCATCCATCATTTTAATGAAAGTGAGTTGCAACTTAGATGAATATGGAATAGATTTTGAGTTAGTTAGGTTTTAAATATAAGTAAGCATATTGTTTAGCTTTGACTGCTGGTCGGAGAGCTAAAAGCCTTGTGGCTCTGTTGTGCCTGAAGACTTAACTGATTTCTGTATATATCTGATCTTCGAGCTGTGATTTCTGCTACATTTTCAAGGCACCAGATCTTCCTTGTAGTTCTCTACAGCACAAAGCAGAAGAGCTTGTGGCTGTTTTTTCTTTTTGTTTTTTACCCTGTTCACCAAATCACAGGTGTTGCAAGTCTGCTGATCTATCAAAGGTCAATTAAATGAGCAAAGAAAATCCTAACCCTTTCAGTAAGAATACTTTATTGTGGTGTATGCATTATCAAGAGCTTGTGTCACAAGGTAGTCGAGCTCAATTCCCTCATAGAAGTAAAAATATTTTTAACTTAACCAAGAATAATCAAGACTAAATGTTGCCAAGTAATCGTAACTGCCATTCACATAAATACTTAGTTGCTACTTAAAAATTATTTGAAAATAAATTGGTGACACATAATGATTATGAACACCATACTGATTTAGAATGAAGAATACTGCAGCAGTTTTGTTTTCTGAAAGAGTTGCAGATACCGGTAAACTGAGATTAATGAATCATTTAATTCACTTCAATAAGCTTGATCATGCTTTAAAAAGGTAATGAGTATCCATTTTAGTATAGTGTTGTTTTTACCTGGAGGTTCATCATAATCCCTCTAGATCACTTTGCTCTGTTTTTATCAAAATTGTTTGTTTATTTTTGTCTGTTTTTCAAAATTCATTGATATATGTAAATTCTGTGCCCTGTACTGAAATGTCCGTGATTTATGATGAAATAATAAACATATGTTTCTGGTTTATTCTCAGATTCAGAAGAGGAAATGAAAGCATTAGAAGCAGATTTATTGACCAATATGTACACATCAAAGGTAATTATTTTTACTCTTTTAGCTGACGGGTAGGAGCAAATGAATTCTCATTACAAACCCAGAAGTCTTTGCACCAAGTAATAACCCATGGTCTAGACCAAAAAGTTCAGTGGTAGACGTTACTTTGGTGCAAGGTTTTCTCCAGTTCAAAGGAAAATTAAAGGTGTTGATGTGACACACTAAAAGTGCCTCTCTCTCATAACACTGCTACTTTCATTAAACTGTCAAAACTGTGTTATGTGAAGAGATGTAAATTTATACGAGGAAATGTGTTTCCAATAGGATTATGCCTGACGAAAGCTAAATTAACCTTCAGTCAAATCAGTAAGTGCCATTTTTATGCAGAACTTTTCCTATATGCACGTAAAACTAAGATAGTAATAAAGCAAGAAATGTTAATGCACATGCTGATTTTTATTTAGGAATTTAATCATAGTGTTAGTACAGGAACATGGGGACATGACCGTGAAAATACTCATCTGATAAATGACACTTCTTTGACAAGTTGCCAGACTGTGAGCAACGTACACATTATTTAATGCAAATAGACAAAAAATTCAGTTCCAGTCTCATATCGACAAGGTGAAACAGCAAGTGTTGCACATATGTATTAAACAGGCTGTTAGAAAAACACTTCTCAACATTGTTAATTTCCATGAATGATCTAAAAAGATGTAAGTCTAATGTTTCTTCAGCGACATATCAAGGAATAAACTTTTAAACAAGTGCCATGGACTTAAGGTTGAATCTTTTAATTCTTTCTTCTGATGAAGTTCAAGTGGTGCTTAAATTCAGTGGAAAAGAAAATGGGAAATGAAAAAATTATCCAAAAATAGAATTTCATCATTAAATGACTAGTTGAAGGTTAAGGACAAAAGCTGCCTGGAAGATTTCTGTATTTACTGTAGTTGTTTAATGTGTGCTTTTTCACAGAATCCTTTGAATAGACTAGATTAAGAAATGAGGCCAGAAAATATATTTCTTTGATCTGGTCTAACAGTTCTTAGGCTCACATGTTCTTTACTGGCATGGTAATTAACCTTAGATGCCAAATAAACCTGTTTGCCACTCACTTCTGTAAGGTATTTAAAGATTTAATATATGTTCTTTTCCTGAAACAAATTTAAATATAGGAGCCTGACAAAAATAGGGCTTTCTTTGTGTGTCAAGGGATAATACACCCTGGGAGAAAACCTTGCAGGTATTGGTCTTTCTGCTACTGACTTCAGAGGAGCTGTGAACCTAACTGCCTGTTTTTCCTTTTCCTCCATCTTAGCACAGAGAACAGTCTCAGGTAACTAGTAATGCACAAATGTAGTGCAATGTAGTGATAATAGAGTGATGGTTGCCATAATACTCTTGGATGTTGTTTCATGTCATGTAGCTTGCCATTTCATTTCCTTATGGTATATACCTTAAGTGGAATGATACCTGAAGTTGACAGAAGAAGTGTATTTATGGTGGAGATACTGCTTTAACTACATTATACGGCCTTAAATCACCATCTAAAATTATTTTGTTCAATATATATTGTCTCTTGACAACAAAGTAAGGCATGGCTGAACCACTAAAAAGTGTGCATAAATACTTCTACAAGAGCATGCCACTATTCCATTCATTACTGAAATGACAAATTCTTTTTTTTCTGTTGTCCTCTGCTAGCTTTTACCCCTCATTAGAACAAAAATATAGTTCTGGTGTGAGAGACAAATTTGAGGACGTTATATATAATAACTGTCTTGTATTGTGCATGACATCTGGTTCCAGTTGAGAGCAATTACTGTTAAATTGCATTAAGAGTCTTTGACTCTGACTTGGTAATAGCAGCAAGGGAAATCCTGACAATTTAAATAGCATTAAGAAGGGGAGGGAAAAAACGAAGAAAATTGTTTATGAAAGCTAAGATCTAAAAATGCAGCAAAGTGGATTATCACTTGCATTTCCAGTATGTGACAGAAAAAGTCTTCCTAAGTAGGCACTTGTGAAGTATGGTATCAAGACTACAGCTAAGGTTAAAGCACACACCTTTTCCAACATTCAGTAGTCTATCCAGTATTACGGAAAACATTACCATATGCTTTTGACTTCATAGCCTGCTGTCCAGTGTCTGCTGGTCTTTTTCAAACTGCTCTTTAAAGTCATCCATATGCTGAATCACTCTCCATCTTTAAAGTATGTCCTTGCTTATTACCACCTGCCTTCAATTTATAACACAGTTTATCACGCTTCCCTGCTGTTACATGTCAAAGAAGATAAAGGGATCAAACAAATCCCTAAAATGCTTTACCTGTCTTTCCTCTCAGATAAAATCAAAAGAGCCACTTGGAAGATCTGGTAATACAACACAACTTGAAGTATCACAAATATGCAGAGTTACCTCCTGTCTCTTTTGTATCAAACAGATAGCTCTATTCCTAATTTTGTAAAGGCTTGTCTGAAATCACCACTTGCATGAAGAATGTCCTGAACTCAAATAAGATTGAGATGATGTTAAAGAAAAAAAAAAGAAAGAAAGAAGAAAAGTGTATTCTTGAAGAATATGTAATTACTGGAATATACTCCACCTTTGGGATCCTCACTCACATTAATTTTCTGAAATCTTGAACACTCTTGAGATTTTTATTGCTCTAGGGTGCCTATTGGTGACTATGTGTGCACAGACAGTTTAGCCTCCTTCAGAAGCTGGTGAGGTTACCTCTGTCTACGAGTTACTGACTTCCTGACTCAGTCATCCCATAAAAATTCATTACATTTACAGGCATTATTATAAACCACATAACTTCTGTTGTAGCAGAACTCAATACCATATCTGCTTAAAGACAGAATATTTTTATTATTTATATGGTTTAAATTCTGGATAAAATGAAACTACTATTCTGAAAAAGAGCCATAGAGACCCTACATTACCTTGGGTTTTACTTGGTTATGAATTTGTTTTACAACTGCTTTTACTAGATAAAGCCAAGAACAGAAAAAATAGGGAAGTTTATTTTTCTAAAAAAAATAAAATGGCATTTGAGAAGTATACATTATAATATAAAAACTATTTTAAACAAACTGTTGGAAGTATTCAACCAGAAATAGAAAAGGTATCATGGACAGTGTTGTTATTTTCCTTAATGATAATGACAGTGGCATTGAGAGCACTATCAGCATGTTTGCTGATGATGCCAGAGGGATGGGATGCCATCCAGACCTGGACAAGCTGGAGAGGTGGGCCCAGGTGAACCTCATGAGTTTCAACAAGGCCAAGTGCAGGGTCTGGCACTTGGGCTGAGGCAATCGGAGATAGGAATACAGGCTAGGGGAAGACATGCTAGAGAGCAGCCCAGAAGATAAGGGGGTATTAGTGGACCAAAAGCGGGACATGAGCCACCAATGTGCAATTGCAGCCCAAAAGGCCAACTGCATCCTGGGCTGTATCAAAAGAAGTGTGGCCAGAAGATTGAGAGGGCTGATTCTGGCCCTCTGCTCTGCCCTGGTGAGACCTCACCTGTAATACTGTGTCCTTCCCTGGAGTCCCCAACACAAGAAAGATGTGGACCTGTTGGAACATGTTCAGAGACATGAAAATGATCCGAGGGCCGGAGCTCCTCTCTTATTAAGACAGGCTGAGGGAGTTGGGGTTGTTCAGCCTGAAGAAGAGAAGGAGGGAACTCATAGCAGCCTTCCAGTACCTGAAGGGACCCTACAGGAAAGCTGGGGAGGGACTTCTTACAAGAGCTTGTAATGAGAGGACAAGGGGTAATGTTTTTAAACTGAAAGAGGAGAGATTTAGAGGAGAAAATTTTTAGTGTGAGGGTAGTGAGACACTGGAACAGGCTGCCCAGAGAAGCTGTGGAAGCTCTATCCCTGGAAGCATTGAAGGCCAGGTTGGGTGGAGCTCTGAGCAACCTGATCTAGTGGGAGGTGTCCCTTCCCATGCAGGGGAATTGGAACTTGATGATCTTTAAGGTCCCTTCTGATTCTAACCATTCTATGATTCTATTCTCAAGCTCATTTCAGTTTCTTAGATAATTTAAAATTCTCTTTCAAGATACTTGAAGTGTGGGAAACATATATCTGAGTCTTATTTCAGAAACATGTTCAACAGTGGAAATGCATACACTATATTCACTTCACCATTAATAACTTAATTCATACTGCAGTCTCTTTTGTTCCTTCAGATCACTCTCAGATATTTTTCAAGTTAATCTTAAAAAAAATTAGTTCCATCTTCACAGATACAGGTTCCTTGATCTCTTGTGTAGGTATTTTCCAAAACATCTTGAGCAACTGTAGTTGGTATTGTTTAGACCTGAATGGAAAATAATCACACACTGGAAACTTACCTGAACATTTGGGTTGTGGTCATCTTTAACTGTTATTTTCACATACTCCTTTAGGATAACTGCCTCAGAAGTTTTTCATAACCTATAAACTAAAACTGTTTGTTTGTAATACTTGCTGTAACAGTGGAGTAGAAAAATAATGACTGTTCTGTTTAGTGATTGGACATGACCTAAAGAGCTCTATCTTAAGTTTAAAAAACCCAAACTTCACTTCTGACTTCAGTTCTTAATGCTGCATAGTCTCATTCTGTGACCTGATATCAGTGTAAGGCAAAAGCAGGCGTACTCATGTAAAAATACTTTGAGGTGATATATATGTGATATTAATGGGAATTAGACTCCCTTAACCAATGAAGTATGCTGGCAGACAGCACTGCAAAAATTTTCCCCTAATCTCATAAGTAGCAGCAAAGATAAATTTCACCTAATGAAATCTGTCTTTTAAGTATTTTACTAGTATACCGAGGAAAGTTCCTTTAAAAATAGAAATGCAGCAGGCTGACATAAAGTAGTAACTTGAGATAAAAAGATTCCATAAATTATGCAAGAAGGCATAACAAATTTCCTTATCCATTCCTCTTCTGTTCCCAGCCACTGGAATATTTTTTCTTCTTTAACTCAGAACTCCCACTTGCTTAGGTAGCTCTGCCCCTAGATTTTATTCTTAATTGCAATTTAGCTGTTATAGTGCTATCTAACATTTTTTTGTATACCTAGGAGAGAGAAGTGCACTGGGAAAGCCTTCCCATTGTCATGGAAAGCTCCATATTCTTGTATTTTACCAAAATTTTAAAACAGACCAAAGAAGATTGTGAAATTGCAGTGGACACCTGGTCTTTTCTGCAAGTTTAACTTCTGTTAGTTATATTAGGACATTCTGTGAAGAGGTTAATTCTTGGTTTGAACTTGTCACATCTTTTAAAATAATTTGACAGACTAATTAGTGCACCTCAATGAGGCAACAGATGAGCTCAAAGTAAACAATGCAGAACCAATTTCAAGGTTCTGAATAAGAAACAAGATTTGTTTTCTTCTCCATCTCTGGCTTCTGTCAGGAATCTGAGAATGCAGTGGTTTTATTAAAGAGCTAAATTATTATAATTTTGAAAGGCATGTGTGTATCAGATGTGTATTGGAGTAATGATTATGGCCAAAAGGGGATTTTTTGTAACTGATTATAATAGTGATTCCAGCTTTTCTTGTTTCTTCTCAGTCCTCTCAATTTTCTTTCTTTTCTCTTAAAAAATTATGAAGTGTGGTAAATATGCATAACTCTTGAATCAATGACCCTTTGTTAGGAAGGTTCTTCAAAAGAACAAGAGATTATGTGATTACCTAATGTTCACCTAAGTAAGTGCTGCTTCCACACTCTTAATTAATGCTGTCAGTATGTAAAAGTCAGTGTCTGTGTTAATGTAATACCTATATTTGACTTTGTTCATCCAGGAAAAGAAGCAGCTACATTTAAGTTCATAGGTAAAATGTAATTCTAATGTGCTCAGCAAGGAAGCCCTTGCCAGTAATAAATGGGAATTTGCTATTTGGCTTCTGATTGGAGATTGCTGTGTCACCAGTTCCAGTTTAAGGAAACAGATTCCTGTACTCACTGCTAAAAGAAATACAATTTGAAAGAAATAATTAATAGTGGGAGAACCAAGAAAGGGTGAAAGACATGAAAAGCAGTAAGATGAGGCAGGAGCAAGGTTTTTCACTTCTTTCTAGTCATAATCAAATAAAGAAAACTACTGACACAACTGCTTGGAAAGAACACTACCAGTAGAAAAGTAAAATTTATTTTTCTCAACATTTAAAAAAAAAGTGTTAAAAACTTAAATAGCTCCCCAATAATGTGAGATATTGGGGCAAGCAAAATGTGTGATAAACCATCAGGAAATTTCTCTTGTTTCTGTCTTTCTGTAACATCTCTGAACAGGTCCATTATTGACTGCCTAAATTGAGTTGGTCTGAGTTTCAGTCCAGTTATGAAATCAGGAATACATTGTTTGCACAACTGTCTTTATCTTTGCTCCCTCTTCATCTTAAGTTCATAGACCTTCAATTCACATCTCACAGGCTTATGAGTCTCCAGCATCCAGAACTCCTGGGGCTTAACAAGTTCTATAACTTCAGATCCAGCCTCATCAAACAGCTTGCCCTGAAGCAGGGACTCTGTTCCTTTTCTCAGGGAACTTTGAAATGACTGGTATTTGTTCTGAACTAGCGAGAAGTATCTAGTTAACCACAAGCATCCACCTTGGATTCCAGTACTGGGAATTCATCCAGTGGGTTTGACTCATTGTCCTGATTTACACCTGTGAATTTATATTATATTAATTTCCATCTGTGTTTATGTTTGCACCTGTGCAAAATGACTATGAAATGCTACCATTCTGGTTTGGTAGCAATTTAGTTTTTCATCATGCAGATCTACCTGGGAGGTAAAGCTGTGGGGAAGCAGACTTGGTGTGTTTAAGAAATATGTTTTCCTAATTTCAGCACTCTCTAATTATTGTCTAAAAGTTGAGCACATGAAAAATATCTCAAACACACAAACTTATTCCTACCAAAATGTTTAAATGTGACACATTATTACTAAAAAAACAAAACAAAAATTGCAACATGTTAAATGATGGATGTTTGTATTTTCAGATTAACAGAGCAAAACCTCCTTACTGGAAAATGACCCTGCTAAATGTCTGCAATCTTATCAACAACATAAACAACCAAGGAGGGGAAGTAATAGAGGTAGATGAAGAGGATCTTGTTTCCGGAAGACAGTTTCCTGCTGCTCTGGATGGCTTCAGTTTGGAAGCAATGCTGACAGTGTATCAACTCCAAAAAGTTTGCCACAGCAGAGCCTTTCAGCATTGGGAGGTAAAACAAACTGTCACAAAGATATGTTTCAACTCCTGTTAAACTCACTTTGCAGTAAGGTTTTAAAGACCATATCCATGTGACTTCTATCACATTGTCTGAGCTTCCTTCAATTCTTTTTATTTAATACCAATAATGTGCCTCTTACTGAGAGGATTGTGAATTAATGTTGTTTCCGATGAGAGGAGTGTCTGGTTTTTATAACGACCCCTAGATAAATGAGAACTATTCTTAACTACATACTTTCTCCACTCTTTGTAGCAATTCCAAGGAACCAAACACATGAAAGTGAGCTCTGTGCCAGAGCACAAAATCAATATTGGCTTCACAGATGTTAACTTACTACAGATTTATCGAGGCATAACTAAATGTAGGCAGAGTTAGAAAAACCCTTTTAAGGCCCTAAGGCAAACTGGATTCGAAATGCATAGACATAAGCCCAATGTGTACATGTAATTTACCAGGTACTCTGGGATTCTTATCATTGCTAGGAAACGGGTAGCAAGGAAGCTCATGCTTTTCACTTCACCACACCTGAAGAGGGTCCTGGAAGTTGACACTGTGATTTTAGGAGTTTGCTTCTCTTAAATAGTGATTGTTTATAGTTCATTTGTGATACTTAGTGGAGTGATCACAGATAGGCACACAAGGCAGAGTCCACTTTTGCTGTTAAATATTACCATAAAAACAAGATACCTCAATGTCACTACCCACTTCCCAGTAAACCCATTTCTTTCAGTTACTGCAGGTCCATGGACAGTCTGGCTGAATCTTACTTTGCAATTACATCACCTTTTGTGACAGTTGGGAGTCATCACTGCTAACAATACCATGTGTGAAATGGAAAAAAATACTCCTCTCTCAGCTTAGGAACAAACTTATGCAGTGCAGAGGTTTATGAAACAGAATAAAAGAGGAAGGTGTAGAGACAGAGGAAGAAGGCTTGAAATAAGCATTTTACGTAATAAAAACAGTTCTTGTGATCTTATTCATCCAGGATTGACTCCAAAGTCTGTTGAAACCATGAGAGTCTTTCCATTCATTTCAGTAGAATTTAGATGAGCACTCATTTATGAAATAATTAAGGGAGTAACAGAGTTTGCTCGCTTAGAGAAATACCTAGGTGAGTATAAAAATGGTTTTGGTTTAATACCTTTCAGCCAGACAGTAGGACTCTACCTGACTGTGAAGGAATGCGGGAGAATGGATTAAATCTCAACAGATAAAGCAAGAATGAATCTGAACAAAACACTTTAAAAACTCCAAGTAAAACTTAAAGCACAGTTATATAAGAAATATTGATTGACAAAATTTTGGCTTTCTTGTGCTTTTTTTCATTTCTTATTTATGTATTACACATGTTGATTTTTTAGCTGTAGGAAGTTGCAGATAAAAATACTGCTCAAAAGCTGAAACCAGCAAGCAGTGGGTGTTTTAGGAGGTGTTTAGCCTAAAAGAGTGATTACAGAGTGACAATCATTAGGAAGTTTTCACTCGGTTTGAGCTTTAGTCTGAGGAGGGCATACTAGCACTCCTTTTTAGTAAAAAACAGTGATCTCATTTGTTTCAGTGGAATTTAAATATCACTTCTGTATGATTCAACTCATCTTGAGGTTGATCTGAATTTAGTGTCTTGAGTTTTGGGCTTTTTTTCCCCTTCCTTTTCTTGTTTTAAACTTGTAACTATTATTGTAACAGTTTTTCTTGGGCTCAGATGCTAAAATAAAATTTTATAAAACTTTCTAGGAATCAATACATTTTACTATCAAAAAAGCTGATAATCTTCTGTCTCTTCTTGCGTCTTACAGTTGCTTCAGCAAGATGCTTTTGACCTAGAGAACTCAAGCCAAGAGAAGGAAATAATGAAAAGGAAAAATCCCTACATTCTGAAACGGCAGCTACATGTGAACAAGGCTAGAAGACCATACATACTCAAGAGAAGTTCATATTACTGATCCAGCAGAAGAAAACAATGTATATTTAGTTTATAGGTAACTGTGCGTTATGGTTATCTTATTTAAATCATACTTGTGTGAAAATATACTATGGAAAATCATCAAGATGGTAACATAACTGTGGTTTTTTTGCAATTGCTGTTTCTTGATTGTGATTTTTTCCTACTTGAGATTAATTGGACCAATACATTTGCAAATAAATCTAGTTTCTAAGCATGATGCGTTGTACAAAACTGAGATTTCAACATACTTCTAATAATGTAGTATTTTCCCATTTTATAAAGCACACTGGCGACACCAAGTAAATTGATATTGTCCAAAAACCCTTCTGAGAATCTACCATTTCTTAATGCAACACTTCAAACATACACATTTACAAATTTTTTTATAGTACAGTACTTACAACTTGCACGAGATTTTGCATATTGGCCTGTTTAACTTGTTAGGGATCAGATCTAAAGAAGGAAGGAAATGCTATCAGCTAACTATAAAATGGCAGTTTCAAAATTCACATTTTAAGTAGCCTGCATGTCAATGAATTTTAAGTGCTTTACTCCTAACTTGTCACTGAAGTCATAATTTTAGAAAGCAATACAGAAATGGGAATTTAACAGAGTATGCTTGGGAGAAAAAACCTTTGGCATCTTGTGTATCACCTATTAAATAAGGAAAACAGTTTATTAAATCAATAATAGAATTTACAGTGTTTACCTGATCTATGAATGCTCAGAAAAAAAAAAAAAAAGACAAAAAATAAAAGCTGGCTCATGCTCTTTTCCTGTCACTTGAAAAATAGCAATTTGGTTATACGAGAAATTCGGGAGAAATATTTGAAAGAGGAATTAAAGTTAGAGCATCTTAAACTTAGAATTGAAAGGCATTTCCTTCCCCTCCCTCTACAAATCTGTAATTACAACAGGCATTTTCTGGGGGTTAAAGACAGTCTTGGAAGCCAATGAAGAGGGAACCTCCCAGCATGGAAAAAATTGTTTTCAAGCCATGAGGAATCAAATGCCACATGAAACATAAACATTTTCCAGCTCTGTGTCTCTGATGTGTACATAAGACTTAGGATCTCAGTGATCTTGGGTTTCAGTCTGAAGGAAAACAGTCTGAAAGAACTGGGGGTCAAAGCAACAGTAAAAATAGAGGGATAGTCTGAGATCCATGACACCTGGATGCTCAAACCAGGAGGCAAAAAATGGGACAGAGATACTGTTTTTCAAAATCTGCCTGTTTTCTGCTTGAGTACTTCCTCAAAGCAATACTATTCCAAACATTTGCCAGAAAAAAAAAAACACACAGAAAATTTCCAAATCCTCTCACAGGTCAGATTTTCTATCAGTTATTATACAGGGATATGCATGAAAAAAACATACCTATACCAATGGTTATACCAGTTTTGTTATGGAGAGGGATGGGTTTTTTTTTGCAGTAAAATGTATTTTCACCATGCTAAAGCTAATAATACTTCCTTTTTTCACTGCAAATATTAATCAGTTTATTTATTCAGTAGCCACTAAATGCATGCACTCACAAGATACAACTGGGCATACACTAATTACTGTTAATAGTTGTCTCCGTGTTTTAAATGCTTAATGTGCTAAAGGGCTTTGCTTAAATAAGGTTATAGCAGATTCATACCCTTTATTTTTTTATGGCACTGTTGTAGAAGTAGGCTGGAGGCACAATATGCTCTCAAGCGGCTAAGAAACATGCCTCTTGACAAAAAACCTACAAGCTAGACCTGGTATGGACACTTTAAATTCTAAATTACCTGTTGGTCTGAAATAGCAAAGCAAAATGGAGTTTGTTCCAAACTTCACTGCTAGCAATATATGAAGAAGAAAGAAAGGAAACTTTAGATCTCTATTTCATGGGGAAGACAGAACACAAGATACAAAGAAATAGGTTGCCACGATTATTTTTCTTCTGTGTTCAGTTTAAGAAACTATGACTTAAAAAAGTTGGGTAAGGTAATGTGGTTGTCATCTGACAGAATGTTAAAACTTCGGAAAACGAAAGCACCCTTCCATGTTTCATTTTGGAGGTGATTTAGATATTCAAAGTGATGGCACAAGGAGCTCAGATGATGATGATGAGCTGTTCCACCGTTGTCTAGTGCTCCAGACAAGCGGAACTTACTCTGTGACTGTGTACTTCATCTTGCAGTGCAGAGATAACAGATTACTCACAGTGATTGGCTGAAAATGGTTTAAAATAACTAATTTCTTTCAGCACGCTGTTAGTCCACAAACTGTGTGGCACTGGAGGAGGAAAAGCTTGAAATATGACAGGAGGTAGCTTGTTGAGTTGCTGCCTAGCTTGTGATGGAGGTGTTCAGGCAGTTGTCAGAGAAATGTCATCCAGAGTGAGAAACAATCCTAACGAAATGAGGAACCAATATCCAGAACTGTAAAATGATCAATAAGTATACAAAAGCCAATGCTGGTGTTTCAGCTTAGGGATCACTGGTGAAAAGCAAGCATAGCAGCATTAAAATGTTATAAAACACACTAAAACTGTATGATTGAGCGGGATACAAAGAGCTGTGAAAGAGTATTTTGATGACTCTCTTGAAATCTCTCATTTCCAGCTGTTGCTACCTCCTGATAACTTCACTGCTGTGAAATTTCAGCCTTTCCTTAATCCTTCTATTTGGATGATGGCAGCAAAAAAACAGACAAGCTTATACATTTTTGTCTCTATTTGACACATTGTTTCAGTGGGATCCTTGGTACCTGCCTTGGCCCTACTTGTGCATTACCTGCTGTATTTGCAGCAGCAATGGGTGTTGAATGAAGTTCAAGCCTCACGAGGCCTGCACATTATGTAAAGATGTGTAAATTCTGGCAGCTGCTTTTTTTTTTTTCTTTCCTTTTTTTCTTTTTCTTTTTTTTTTTTTCCTTTTTTTTTTTCTTTTTTGCAGCCTATAATTGCCTTACTTTAAAAAAATATTGTTTTGAAGGCCATTAACTCAGATTGCCACCTTGGCTTAAAGAAAGGCCTCTTGATACCAACAGTTTTGTTTTATAAAGGCAATTACTGGGACATTTGCCATCTTTGTCTCCACAGATGAGCACATTTTTTTCTACATATTCAATTTCTGATGTTTTTATGAAGTTCATAGATGAATAATTATACCAATTTTTCAGAATATTTATACTTAATTACTTCTCCTAAAATATAGGATGTTGTCATACAGAGCAATTGCAGAAACCTCTGTTATTTCTAATGTAGAGTTAAATGTAACATTTGATTTTATATATTTTAATATTTATAATTCATAATCTTAGAAAATTAAAACAGATAACTTGATTTTGTCATCTCTGAAGCATATATTTGTTAGTTTTTCTTTAAAAGAAACAATTAAAACCAATACTGTTCTCAAGGTTAAGTGTTGTGATAAAATAACTCTTCAGCTTTCTTGAGTCTTGCTTTTGGTATATTGTGGATTTACTGTTTCCTGTCTTTTCTATCATAAGTCTAAACTCCTCTGTTTTAGGTAAGAGTTTAATGCCTGTGACATGCACAGAATGGCTGAAATGTGGAGTTTGCAGATTAAAGGAGATTTAATCTTGTGATGTATGGTCTTAACTAACATGCAATATAGACATGATAATTTGTCTTGATCAAAAATCATAAATAGACAAAAAATTATTTTTATTTCCCACTATTTACTGGACTTTCAGAGAGCATCTGAATCACATTTTTAAAGTTTTGTCAACATGAGGAGCTAGAACATATTTTTATTTATTCATTGCTACTGAAAATTGACATTCTGAATGTCAATTGAATATATTCACCTCTTAAATCCAGTAGGTGATGCATTAAGACACAAAAAGCACAGTGTTGATCAGCTTTCAAGAACTCTCAGATGCAGAATACTTGAATGATTCTGAGACACACAATAATCAGACAGTGGACTGAAAGATGTATGTAGTACCTAATTAACAGGCAAGCTTTGGCTGGCTGTATGACTCCTCTGAGGTAGCAACATGGAGAAGTGAGATAGGAGCCACTTTGGAGCTTTTGAAGGGTTATCAGCTATTAAGAATCATGAAGGCTTCAGGATCTGTCAGTTGCCCAGCTAAGACCTGCTTTTTTCAAGCAGATGAGAGCATACAGCTGTTATCTTAGGAGACTCCTCACATACCCTCTTATAGAAGGAAATAATTTGACTATACAGAACAGGACTTGAATTACAAAGGAACAGCATTTGCCTGCTTAACCAGTGGGTCAGGTACAAGTCTTTGTCTCAAAAGTTACAGTGCAGTCTAGAACAATTTTCTGTTTTGCTATTCGAGTTCGGTAGTAGGAATCTTTTTGCAGGATGTTTTCTGTGTACATAAGGAGCTTCTCAGGTAGTCTACGTATTGCTTTCACAAATGAGTGCCAGCACCCTGAGGATCTCTGTTCAGATGTAGTGTCTAAGCTGTGTAACAAAGTGTTAACAGTATGTGAATAAAAAGCTGCTGGATTTGTCTGACAGTGAATCTAACCTTGAGGACAGACTGGAGACAATCCTAACTTTTTTTTTTTTCTTTCCTTTTTTTCTTTTTCTTTTTTTTTTTTTCCTTTTTTTTTTTCTTTTTTGCAGCCTATAATTGCCTTACTTTAAAAAAATATTGTTTTGAAGGCCATTAACTCAGATTGCCACCTTGGCTTAAAGAAAGGCCTCTTGATACCAACAGTTTTGTTTTATAAAGGCAATTACTGGGACATTTGCCATCTTTGTCTCCACAGATGAGCACATTTTTTTCTACATATTCAATTTCTGATGTTTTTATGAAGTTCATAGATGAATAATTATACCAATTTTTCAGAATATTTATACTTAATTACTTCTCCTAAAATATAGGATGTTGTCATACAGAGCAATTGCAGAAACCTCTGTTATTTCTAATGTAGAGTTAAATGTAACATTTGATTTTATATATTTTAATATTTATAATTCATAATCTTAGAAAATTAAAACAGATAACTTGATTTTGTCATCTCTGAAGCATATATTTGTTAGTTTTTCTTTAAAAGAAACAATTAAAACCAATACTGTTCTCAAGGTTAAGTGTTGTGATAAAATAACTCTTCAGCTTTCTTGAGTCTTGCTTTTGGTATATTGTGGATTTACTGTTTCCTGTCTTTTCTATCATAAGTCTAAACTCCTCTGTTTTAGGTAAGAGTTTAATGCCTGTGACATGCACAGAATGGCTGAAATG